AAAAAAGCCATCACAGCTCGCTTCAGTAACTTTACTCTCTCTGAGTTTTCTCAATGTTGAACTGACTTGAAGCATTTTGAATTTGATTTTAAACACCATATTTCATTGAAAAATATTGAATATATTTATATTTATGACCTGTGAAACTCCTCTTAAGCACAGATTATTTGATTCCAGGATTTTGGTTTCCATGACTGGAAAACTAATCTCTAAATTTCCAGGTTTTTCATTTTCCCGGACATTTTCTGGGAGTTTTTTGACAATACAGGACAGAACTTTCACACAAACGGTCACATATTCAAACAGTTTTCCCAGCCCACGCATGGGAACCCTGAGTTTGTCGCACTGACCCGTCTCCACCTCGGCGATGTCTATGAAGTGATCCTCGGACGCTGAGGCCAACATCTTGCCGTCGTGGCTGAAGCTCAGCGTCCTCACGGGCCAGTCCAGCCTACGACGCCAGCAGCAATTAAAAGAAATCCATGATCAATACAAAGTATTCTTACAGTGGTAGGAGTCATATTATCATGTCACTTTAATCGGGATGTATGGGAGCCCTGTGTGATCAATTAAAGCATATAAAACACACACACACACACAGACAGAAACCGACCTGGAGAAGCAGCGGACACACACCAGTTCCTCCACGTCCCACAGGCTGACGAGGGCGTCTGCACTTCCTGTGGCGAAGTATTTCCCTGTGGGGTCAAACTTGATGCAGATGCAGTTGGACGGGTGAGCGTTGATGGACTGGATGGGCTTCAGCTCTGGATAACTGCAAACAAACACGCTGTTCACTTCAGTCCAGCTAAAGAACGCACGTTCAGAGGTCGTTCCCTCCGTTCGGTTCCTACCTCAGGATGTTGATGCAGCCGTTGCCGTTCGTGAGGAAGAACATGTCGTTGTCGTTGTTCCAGGAGATCTCGTTCACCTCGAACTTGAACTGCTCCTCCGCCCTGGAGCGATGCGTCTTGGCGTCGATGAAGGTCACCACATCGTCTTTGTTCCCGACCGCTATGGTCTGACCGTCGGGGCTCCAGCAGATGTTGATGTTCTCTCCTGAAAACAAAAAAACAACATTAGAGACTTTTGAGAAAATCTGTCTCTCAAAGACACTGGGGGACCTGGGATTCAGGGTTCACACAATGTTATTTTAATTACATTTTGTTTGACAAATTGCCTCAAAGAGACCCCCACCAAACCACTTCTCTGTGTCGTCCTGAAATGAGTCTATGAATTGGTTTGCTTGTCGTCTTTTCCATTTGGACGGAGGGAAACAGAGGGAGGAAGCGGCGGGGAGTCGTAGGAGGTGTAATTCAGGAAGTGTCACTGTGAAAACTAGCGTCTGAGTCCTGCTGTTAAGCTTCTGGTGGCGAGTTCGCAGCCATGTTAACTTCCACAGAAGTTCTCACATACTATCGATGTTTACACGGCGGCTTTCTCGGAAATCACAACTCACACTCGACTCAACTTCATCCAGATTGTAAAGAGCAAAGCAGATAGAACAGCCTTCTTCTGATGATTTAGGTTAAGTTAAGTCTATCACTACATGAACTGAGGTCCCACCTTTCGTATTGACGGTGGCGATGCATTTGGTGGTGCGGACGTCCCATATGCGAATGGTCTTGTCTCCGGACGCTGTGACGAACAGATCTGGGTTCGTTGGATGCCAGCAGAGCTGATCCACGCTGTCACCGTGACCCCTGTAGTTGTTCTCTTTCACCTGGGGACAGAAGCAAACTCAGGTTTAACAGGTGTCCTGTGCAGAATCCAACAGCCTATATCGGTCGATAATGGCACATTTGAATTAGCATGTATAAGTCAATGAAACAATTAAACATATGATGCATCACAATTTTAATTCTTCTTACATCTGCACTTTTTAGATTTCTGCAGCACTACAATAGCCCATACTGTGTATCCCTGCCCCGAAACCTTATCCACAAATCCTGTTCTCATGGGTTTAAGAAAACAATCCGTTAAAACTAATTAAGTTCATCCAACTATTTAAAAAGGACCTACACACTCTTTATAATAATAATACATTTTATTTATAAGCGCTTTTCTAAATACTCAAAGACACTTTACATAAAAACATAAAAGCAGCAAAACAACATCAAATAGTAAAACACTAAAAACACATTAAAAGCAATTTAAAAAGGTGACTGTTTACAGGTACCCGTTTAAAACAACACAATAACATTATTATATGTTAAAAAAAAAACTACTGATTAGATATAAAATAAAGATTAACTCAAAAGTGTAACGTTAGACATCTTTGTGACCACAGTGAGACAGAGATTCATTCATTCATTCATTCATTCATTCATTCATTCATAGAACTATCCACAGCTGTGACATGTTACAGCCTTTCTACAACACCGGAGCCACTAACATCCATCCAGTGAAGGAGGACAACGCTGGCCGAACACTTCACCCACCAAACGGTCCTTCTCGAGGACGAACACGCTGGCTGTTTTATCGAAAGAACCGGAGGCCAGCCTCCTGCCATCACAGCTCCACGCCACCGAGTGAACTTTGGCCGTGTGAGCCGGGAACTCTCGACTTTTGTTGTTATTTCTGAAGCTCTCCTGCATCTCCTGATAGTACTGCGAGGCCATCTTGGAAGCTGTACTAATATGTGAGCGGCGGTACCGGACAGAGCACTACCGGAGCAGGACCGGAGCACTACCGGAGCAGGACCGGAGCACTACCGCCCTCTTCTGCCGCGGAGGGTTATTGAAGCCCAATTCCGCCAAAGTGAGGAGAAGAAGAGGATTGTGTTTTATATTAATTATTAATAAATATTGACTACACCAAAAATAATGATTAGTATCTCAAAATGAAAATGAGAATATTTTAACTTAGTATCTTAAAATAACGAGAAACTTTCTCAATATTTTAACTTAGTATCTCAGAATAATGACTTGTAATACTAAGTCATTATTTTGAGATACTAAGTCAAACTAGAAAATGTTTCAGTAAAAGTGTGCGTATCCTGAGAGAGACGATACAGTTACTGTTTAGAAATGTATTCTGTAACCTAAGTATATCTTTAGTTTCCTGTTAAGATAGTTATTATATAGGGGCTTTATTTTGAAGGAACAACCTCAGTTTCCAGTTACTTTTTGGGGATTTTATTTTGAAAAAAAATGGTCACCCTGTGCTTCCTGTAAAATACAGTTACTCTATCGGACTTTTATTTAAAAAAAAATATATATATATATTTTATTTTTGTGGGAGGAAGAGGAGACGCATTGTCCGTCATGGTGTGTGTGTCTGTTTGTGTGTGTTTGTGTCTGT